GGTGATTCCAGAACTGTACTGGCATGGAGGGTTGTTGTAGAATTGGACCCAAACATAATCAAAAAGACCTGTCTTGAGGGCATTTCCTATCCATGCATCAGGAAATGGGCATTGAGGTGCTGCAGTTATGTACACTTCCTTTCCCTGATTGCCATAGCCTTTAAGATACCTGGCAAGATCACCCCAGTGTTGGTTTGATCCTCCTTCGATGTCAAAGTCAATGCCATCAAGGACAGCGGGACCCAGTGGACGAGAAGAAGACTGTCCTCCCAAGAAGTTGTTCCAAAGGTAAGTGGCTACATGCTCTGCATCTTGAGAGGATGCAAGAGAGTAGCTACCAGCTCCTCCTCCTAAAGACAGCAAAACCTTGATGCCTTTGGCTTGACATGATTTAATGTCAGAACTCAAGCCAGTGCAGCCATTAGTGTAGGGATCACAATGACCAGCTAGGTTTATCATTGGGGTTTGGCCATTGCCAAAAGTTGGCAAGAAGGCCAAAATCAAATACTCATAGTTCCCAGTGGCACAGGCCTCAGCCAGCGTGCCTTCATTACCATTCTGACCCCAGTAGATTGCTATGCTTCCTGCATTAGAGCCATTTGCTAGTGCTAACACGATGAAGGCGAAGACTGAGATGAAGATGGCCCAATTTTTGGATGCCATTGCCAAGTAATAAGCAATATCTAATGAATTGCTTCTTGTGCTGCTTCCTATGCCAGAACACCATGTTGGAGGATGCCTTTTATAACAGAAACTTGTCTCTGGTCTTGCAAATTTGTCGTGATTGTTCTTATAAGAACGTGGCTTGGCGGTCACTTCGGCTCTGGCCTTCATGGTTGAAACGCAATCGTTGATGTAGACGAAAGGTCAGCTGTGTCCGATCTTATTGACGTCTTCTGTGTCGTTTTCTCTACCATGGCTGCTTCTATTTAGTTGTTTTCCATTATTCCAAGCAAAACTGAGTACGGCAGCGGTCAATTGTATCACAGTGCATCAGTGATAGTGGGTTATCATCGAAGAATAATTACTGTTGGATCACGTGATTTTTCCAAGATAGAAAAAAAAAAAGAAATGGAGAGAAAATTGTCTGGATATGGTTATGAAGAACTTCAAACATAGTAAGGGAAAAAAGGAACCACGCTACATCTTCAGGAAACGTCCCGGCTATTTGCCATGGACATTACGTAGTTTGCTAGGTTACGTACATGATAAGCTGAAATATGATATACAGTGAAATCTCTGAGGCTTTTAAAATGCAATTTTTAACCTACTTACTAAATAATGGTTCGATACCAGTTTCTGAAACGAACGAGCTTAGCATTGTGCAGATAATTGAAGTTCTTTTATATACAGATGTTGATGCCATGGCAGTAATTACGGCTTGAGTTTTCCTAAGTAATACTCTCTGTTTATTTTTATGGTTACTCATATGTGGTTCTACTCAGAGGCAATCATTTTCAAAAGACAATCTTTTAACAAGAATTGAAATCTTAGTTTGCCACAAAGGACTAACTTCTTCTACTTAATCCAATTCTCATTGGTTTACTCTTTATTTTGTTATAGAAGAAACTGTCATGCTTCGTTTTTTTTTTTTAATATAAGCATACTTACAAAATTTAAGAACCATTTTACATTTTTCTCAACTTGACTTTCATAAAATCAGATTTATTTTCATGAGACAAATTTAATTCTTTCGCATGCTTAACATTAATTACAAGATTTTTTTTGTCCAAATTTTTTAAATTTTAGATATAATTAGCTCAAATAACTTTCTCAAATTACAATGGTTGATTAAAATTTACTTCCATTTGAATAGGATGGAATATGTTGGAACTATCATAATCATGTGCATTGTGAAAAGCAGCCAAGCTAATCCATTCGTCCCAAAGAGCAGAAATTTATTATTCTGATTTTGAAGCATTCATTTTGATTAAACTTTTCATTAATTTATGGGAAATTCTTAACAATGTCTGAAGTACTTTTTACAGGAAAATTAGGATTCCTCCCATCTTAATTATATGGCAAAGTTTTAAAGTCATATTTGGTCCTAACTATAAGTCACATAAATAGCTATTAATTAAAATTTTCCTATTTACCTATTGGTAAATTATTGAAAAGGAAAATTAAATTCCAGTTTAGTGGTTCCCATATGCTCTTCAAATGTTGCGTTTCTCTCCCTTTAAAAGGAATAAAGTAGGAATATTTTTTAATTTTAAAACAGATTTAATGAGTAAACTATCATTTCTTAATTTTGGAGAGATAGGTAAAAGTGATTTGTAATAAGGATCAGAGGCAGTAATAATTTTTTTCAAACTTTGTACTATTAATTAGCAACTCCAATCATTTCAGTGTTAATCTAAAGTCTGATATTGAGGTCTCATGGTATTGATTCCAATTAGTTACGTTAAATACCATCCCAGCATGTCGTTTTATTCTTACCATGAAGCCTCTTAATATTCGTACTTTATCATATTGAAACTTTATCCTCAGTTTGGTACGCAGAAGATAAGATACAAACAGTAACATATTTATATATTTGTATTCAAATATACATCAATTTCAATACACAAATAAATAACACACAAACACGTATATATAGGCAGCCTAGTACATGATTAAAAGATGAGTGTTGATTTTAGACGTGGCTTTTGATGGAGTTACTGTATCCGCTTTGGGCATCATAATATCTGGACCACAATATAACACCTCCATATTTAGCAGAAGTCTTAAGGGCTGGAAGCACAGCGGAAGTGAGATTAGTAGCAGAAATAAATCCAGTGCCTGCAGCCTCAGGGGAAGCTGGTAGCCCCAAGAATATCTTGTTGGCTGGTATATCTGATGTCCATTGCTTCCATGCATCTTCAAAACTGGTCATTCCAGAACTGTACTGACAAGGAGGGTTATTGTAGAATTGAACCCAAACATAATCAAAAAGACCAGTCTTGAGGGCATTTCCTATCCAAGCATCAGGAAAAATACACTGAGGTGCTGCAGTTATGTACACTTTCTTCTTCCCATTAGCTCCATAGCCTCTAAGGAACCTGGCAAGATCACCCCAGTGTTGGTTTGATCCTCCTTCACTGTCAAAGTCAATGCCATCAAGAACAGCGGGACCCAATGGACGTGAAGAAGATTGTCCTCCTAAGAAGTTGTTCCAAAGGTAAGTGGCTACATTCTCTGCATCTTGTGAGTATGCAAGTGAGTAGCTACCAGCACCTCCTCCTAAAGACAGTAACACCTTTTTGCCTTTGGCTTGACAGGATTTGATGTCAGAACTCAAGCCAGTGCAGCCATTAGTGTAAGGATCACAATGACCAGCTAGGTTTATCATTGGAGTTTGGCCATTGCCAAAAGTTGGCAAGAAGGCTAAAATCAAGTACTTATAGTTCCCAGTGGCACAAGCCCCAGCCAGAGTGCCTTCATTACCGTTCTGGCCCCAGTAGATTGCTATGCTTCCTGCATTAGAGCCATTTGCTAGAGCTAACACAATGTAGGAGAAGACTGAGATTGATACTGCTAGCTTGTTGGATGCCACTGTCAAGGGGCAAGCAATATCTGATATGAATTGCTTTTGTGGTGCTTCTTCCTGAGCCAAGATACAATGGTTAAGAATGTCTTTTTATAGTGGAAACTTGTCTCTGTCTTAGAAAATTGTGGGGATTATTCTTTCAGGGACGTGGCTTGGCAGTCGCTTTGGTTCATGTCTTCATGTTTAAAACGCAGTCGTTAATGTTGACAGGAGGAACGAGGGTGGGTTTAATTACAGTATTGACAGCTTCTTTGTCTCTTATTATCTCTGTTTTGCTTGCTTCTGCTAAGTTCTCTTCTGTTATTCCAGTGAAAAGTGCTTGAAGCAGAGGTCATTTGTTAAAGGTTACGCGAAGTCTATCGACATGAATGCTGGAGAATTATTATTGCTGGATCATGTGACTTTCCGAAAAAAATGAAATTAAGGCGAACTATATGAGAAATCATTCTTGTAGAAAATGACAAGGTATATATGCTATATCTGTATTATATTTTTTTTTCATGTTTGTAAAAATTGTTTATAAAAGAGTAAACAGATATTTTAAACATCATATTTAGTCTGAGTATTTTTAAATAAAAAATTTATACAACAAAAAAAAACAAAAACATACTCAGAACGTTCCAACTCAATCTTCTTTTGAGAATTTATTTTTTACAATTTAAGGATCAAAATGAAATGAAAATCAGAATTTTGAATTTATTTTGTTTAAGAATTAGTTTTCAAATTCAAATGTAAATAATAGGAAATTAATTTTTCAGATGCATGACTAGTTGAAGGTTTGAACTTGACTTACTAAGCCAATTGTTTTGTGTGAAACGAGTTAAACTTGCCTTACTAACCTAACAATTTCGTGTCAAAGGAAAGGACAACTATGAACCATTGTCCCAACCATAATATAAAAATTCAAGTCAACATTGAAATACTTTATATTGATTGATTTAATAAAATATTTTGTTTTGACTGGTATGAACATGATCCAACAACAATTTTAACTATTAACTCTTAAATAAATATTTTAATTAGTTTAATAATCCATCTAATTTTCAGCACCTTGATGCTAGAAAGAGAGGCCATCCTTCTTAATTAAAGAAGGTTTTGAAGAACAATTAAATTTCATTTGATTCATAGAAATGAATGAAGTAAAATAAATTTTTAAAAAAGATAAAAAATTAATGATAAAAAAGAATAATAAACCACATTCATAAAAGAAAGAGATAATTTAATCTATAAAATTAAAATCATGATTCATAAAAATTTTAAATATATGATAATTATTACATTTATAATATAAATTAATACATTTTATGATATTTATCATAAAATGTAAGGATAACTTAATTAATTTCTGCTTTAATTTTTTTTAATTTATTTCATCCTATTCCTTTCTAATAACCAAATAGTACTTTAGTGTGAGAAAAAATCATAATCCTTTTTTTTGGGGGGGGGGGGCAACTGAAACCTCTTGGCTATGTGCTGCAAACGATTCCTCAAATAGACCATGGACATTTAGTTTGCTACGTTATGCAGATGATAAGCTCTAAGCTCAAACACAAAATCCAAGGTACAACAATATGATTTACATTGAAAACCAATGGAGCTTTTGAAATGCAACCTTCACATGCGTGTAAGGTACAATATAATGGCTCACTGCTACTCATCAGAAACTGAACAAGCTTTGGAACCAAATCTAGGCAAGATACCGATAAAACCTTCTGTCACTCTCATCACGCTCCAAAAATTCACGCTCAATGAGGGACTCGATCCGTTTTTTAACCTCCGTTGGATTTGCCAAGAATCGCGATTGCAGCTGCTTTGTGACCTCTGCTACAAGATTGTTATGATCGAGGAATTTCCTTGATTTCATGATCCTCACTACTGCAGCTTCGATCTGAGGCTTCCTGTCCTCCTCCACTCTTTGCCGAGTTTCCAACTTCTCAGGTTCTGACTCCTTTTGTGCTACTACAGTTCCTATTTTTACCTTGTATAACTTGCTGCTGAACTTGTCATTAACAAAGAATGAATCATCCTCCGCAACATCTTTACTCATAGGCTCCTTCCTGAGGACATTTCTTCCCTTAACCAAAGCCAATGATTGGAGGCACCTCTTCAGATCTGAAGCTGGAATCCCTGTTGCTTGCTCGATCTCCCTGTAGCAAAGTCTATCGGCATCGTTGAACAGCATGAGGACACACATTTGATAAGTGGAGACATTTAACTCGTGCTTCTGGCCCTTTCCAAAGGTTGCCTTTACGTCTGCACTTCCCATATTTGTTTGCCAGGACAATCTCCTGCCAGTGTGGGTGCCAAGATAATAGGACCGAAACTTCTCACAAAGTGCAGACACCTCAGCTGGCAGATTGCATGGAGCACTAGGCTGAGCTGGCCAAGATCCTGTTGTCAGAACCTGGACAGTAAGTGTAGGACCGTCTCCGAGCTCAGGGTGGCTCGAGTAAAACCCTTGCATCGTGTCCTCAGAAGTTTTCATGTCCATAAACATGCCCTCTAATTTCGAGGTAAACTGGTAGCCGCATTCTGTCTTGAGCTTAACCAAGAGGCTTCTCTCTGCATCATCAGAAACTGTTTTTCCAGACAAGAGCCGCTTTGCCAGATGCTGTTTGTAATACTTTTCAAACACATCTTTTTCCTGCAAATATCGAAACAGCATCATCACCTTGTCAAGGGTAACCTCTACGTCATCTTCACTTACACCCTTCAGGCCTTTACGAAGTTTATCATCTACAAACAGTGAAATGTACTCTGGAGAACGCTGATTCAAGTTTATGAAGTATTCAAATGAAGAATTCAGAGCATTCTGAAATGATTTGTCGTTGTTGAATGCCAGGTTAATAATCTTGTCATATTTATCTTTCTCATCCAAAAGCCTATTCACAAACTCTACGGGATCCTTCAACCTTTCCGGATCAGTAATAAGCACTTTGCCAGATTCTCTGATGTGGGAAGTCATCACTTCTCGAATTTTTGAAAGACCCTCAGTGACGCGATGGAACAAGTTATACATTCGACCCAGATCTTCATACTTATCGTCACAAAGCATATTTACTAACCCAGAATTCTCCATGTTTATTAATCTAAGCATGTGGTCTTCAATCATCTCCTTCTCCACTACGTTTGTTATCTTCTTTTCAGTCCTGGAATCCAAGTAATGGTTCACCCTGTCAATTTCCTCGTTCAGTCGCTTCTCTGCTTTTTTCAAATATTCCCCACAGTCACAGCACTCAATGAATTTCTGGGATTCTACCCTGTAGAACTCAGCAGACACTCGAAGAAAATGAGCCTCAAATTCTTGTGCATAAACAGATGGACCCAAATCCAATAGCATCTTTATTATATTCCTAGTTAGCCCTCTATCAATAACTTCACCAGTGCGCTCCCTTTGTACGAATTCCAAAAGTATAGTCAACAGCCGGGTCCTGATCTGGCTGGAGTAAATAACATTTTCTCTCCAAAGATTCAGCCCAAGCTCATGAACAGGTGTCTTATGTGTGCTTGGGATGTAAGTTCTATCCATATACATCAGTATGTCTCGGATCATTCGTAATGCCCTATTATGATCATTCCATTTTCTGTTAAGTTCTTCCAGAAAGGATTCCCCTTGAGCTGCTTCAACGGAATTAGCTATGTCTTTGAGATGTGCAGTCATGGTTGTAACCAGTCCAGAGTAAAGCCTTTCACCAAATTTGTGAAGCACCATATTGTATGCATTTCTGAATCCACGCAGGAAAAAAAGGTGGAAAGTTTAGAGGCATAAAATAAGTTTTCCCTCGGGAAAGAATAGAACAAGACACAAAAATCCTTTAGATGTGCACATGTCCAATGAGAAAATCCATTACTTCAGTATATGTTATTTAAAATAATAGAAATTCATTAGTTGAGCAAATGAATAAACAAATACTCCAATAAATATCCAACTATAGTTGGTGTATCTGTAAATAAAAACATCCCCCCTATGATGCAATAGAAGCAAAAGTTTCATTGCATGCAAGAAAGTCAATAGATTCAGTAACATTGTGCTCCACAAGATCACTCCCATTAACAGGTCCAACCTTTGCATATTTGCACGGACATACTGTAGTTATTAGATTATGTTTCTGTTATGATTTTATAATTTTGAGACTGGTTAGTTATGATGACAAGGGGAATAGCTGTTATGTGTTGATTTAGTTTTAATGGTTAGTCCCAATAAAAACTCTAACATTTGAATTATAGAATAGCGATGGCAGATTAATGAAACTCTAGTGCTATTTAGTATCTCTTTTCTCCTCTCTCTCTCTAATCTCTCTCAACCTCCTTCGTCTCTAACATTCCTGTTCTTCTCTAAATCTCTCATCTATCTTCTTCCTATAATCCTCTGAAATTACAATTTTACAATAGTGGTATCAGAGCTAACGCTCCTTGGCAACTTTTTTTTCCCCTACTACTCATCCTTTCAATTTATGGTAAAAACAAGAAATCAGACCCAACAAGAAATGGAGGAAAGGTTCCACCAAGTCGAGCAAAGACTCACCAAGTTAGACGCCATTGACATGCTCAATGATCAAGTAATGGGTCTTTCAAACTAGATCCAACTTCTGATGCATGATTGAGAGAGGAAGAATTAACCAAGAGAGATCAGCGTGGTAGAAATGGCAGAAACGGCCATCATTGCCCACATGAAGTCAATCATCGTCATCAAGAAGACTACCGACAAGCTACCCAATTCACAAAGATGGACTTCCCAAAGTTATCCCATTCTAATGTTTTGGGATGGTTGTGAGCATCATTTTGAATTAGATGATACCCCAGAAGATAACAAAGTGAAAACGGCATTGATTTCTTTAGACGAGAAGGCCTGGTCATGGCATAAGTCTATGAAAATAACTTGGTTTGGTATACACCTAACATGGGTCAAATATGTCAAAGCCCTTAAACAATGTTTTAGACCCATTTACAAGACACCCTTGGGAGATCTGATGCAATTGCAACAGAAGGGTTCCCTGGCCAACTTTAATGACGTGTTTGACAGTGTGGCTTGTAAATTGGATTTGCCAAAATTTGTTGGTTGAAGCATACATAGAAGGACTATTGGAAGATTACACAAAACCTATTTGGCTTCTCAAACCAAGAACCCTCCAAGAAGCATAATCGCTGGCGCGCATGTAGAAAATAACTCTACAAACACAGGTAGAGAAGAAAACAAGTGTCAAGGGCTCTATCTAGGTGGCTACATTTTTGAATGCTTCATCACAACCTTCACAACAAAGGTGTCCACCTTATAAAAATGCTCTACTATATAGTGGGACCCAATTGAAGGGGAAGGCCACATATACTTCTCAAAAATCTTCTTCTTCAGTCTCTTCTTTGAGCTCTTTCTCAAAAAGCACCTCCAATTTCCCTAAAATTCTCTCTACAACTAATTAAGTAGAGCACAAAAGCAAAAATTTATGCTTCTACTGTCACAAGAAATTTTCTTAGGATCATAAATGTCCTCAGTGGCAAAGAATGCATTTGCAATATATTGAATTGCCAAAAAATCAAGAATTCAAGTCTGCGAACCAGAAGACAAGGAAAGAGTTAATGAAAAAGAAACCCCTCTAATCTCCCTATATGCCATGGAAGGAATTGAAGGTTCTTCATCAATGAGATTAATGGGGCATTCTAGCAAAAAGTAACTCTAGATCCTCATTGATAATGGAAACATGCATGACTTTTTGGATTTGAAACTAGCAAGAAAACTAGGTTGATGACCTAATGGCACCTATGAATCTTGAATAGTTGTTAGTGGAAGTAGATTAAAGGTGCATAGGGTTTGGGAAAATTTCAAATGACGTATGCAAGGTTTAGACCTTGTTTTAGACTGCAAAATTTTAGAGCTTCATTCCTATGATATGGTACTTGGGCTGCATTAGTTGAAAAGCATTAAAAATGCTTTTTGGAATCATGAAAGCCTCACATGTTCTTTTGGTATGAGGGAAAATTATGTAAGCTGCAAGCCAACATTCCTAATCAATAGAAGATGGTGCAACCTAAGCATTTGGAGTTTAGTGGCAATTCAGAAGACCAAATATACCTACAACAATGCATTACTAGTCAACAAGAAGATTGGCAGTGCTTCATGATTCAAACAACCACAAAAACTACCAAACATGATTTCTATTTTTTGGACGATTTTTCTGATTTGTTTAAAAAACCTCAAAGGCTACCGCCATTTAGAGAAGGCCACAACAACCCAGTTGTTTTAAAAGGCACCAATCCAATTAATTTGAAACCATATCGATATCCAACAACACAAAAGGATGTGATTGAAGGACTTGTGGGATATCCAACAACACAAGGGCTACCGCCATTTAGAGAAGGCCACAACGACCCAGTTGTTCTAAAAGGCACCAATCCAATTAATTTGAAACCATATCGATATCCAACAACACAAAAGGATGTGATTGAAGGACTTGTGGGAGATCTTCTTAACAATGGGGTTATACAGGAAAGTGTTTCTCCTTTTTCAGCTCCCTTAGTGTTAGTTACGAAGAAAGACGGCACATGGCGAATGTGTATAGACTATAAGGAGTTGAACAAACAAACTATTAAAAACTAGTGCCCTATTCCATTAGTTGAGGACCTATTTGATGAATTAAGTGGAGCTAGGTGGCTTACAAAATTGGATTTAAGAGCTGGACATCATCATATTTTGATGGTGCCAGAAGATGTTCACAAGACTGCATTTAAGACTTACGGTGGGTACTTTAAATGGCTGGTTATGCCATTTGGCTTGACCAATGCCCCAGCAACTTTCCAAGGGGCAATGAATAGCATCTCCAAACCTTTTCTAACGAGGTTTGTCTTAACTTTTTTTTAATGATATTTTACTTTATAGTGCTAATATTGTGGAACATGTGCATCATTTAGAACAGGTCTTTTCACTTCTAAGGTAGCGTCAATATTTTGTTAAGAAAAGTAAATGCTCATCTGCTGCAATTGAGGTTGAATACCTGGGGCATCTAATTGGAGGAGGTACGGTCAAGACTAATCCAAAAAAGGTTCAAGCAGTGGCTGATTGGCCAAAATCTCAAAATATCAAATAATGGAGGGCCTTTCTAGGGTTTGCTAGGTACTACAGGCATTTTGTTAAGGGTTATGGAGTTTTGACCTAACCTCTAACCCTTCTTCTTACCAAAAAAAAAATGGGTTTGCATGGTCCCAGGAAGTTGCCATACCTTTCAACCACCTTCCAAAAGATTTTGATTACTACTCCAGTGCTCACACTTCCACATTTTACTCAACAATTTGTGGTGGAAACTAATGCATGTGGAGTAGGTGTTGGTGCTGTTTTGATGCAAAAGGGTCAACCTATTGCTTATTTTAGCAAAAGTTTAGCTGATAGGCATCAAAAGCTTTCTATATATGAGAAGGATTTAATGGCTGTGGTGTTAGCAGTATAGCATTGGCATCAATATTTAGAACGGCAGAAGTTTATAACCAAATCAATTCAAAGGAGTTTGAAGTACTTGCTTGAACAGAAACAACAAATGTTTCGGGTTGCTAGGCTAGCAGGATTTGACTTTGAAATACGGTATAAGAAAGGGCACGAGAATTTTGTTACTGATGCTCTTTCCAAAGTGCCAAAGCAGCAACTAATGCAGATGATCTTAGACACTTCTTCACTAGAATTACTTGAAAAAATCAAGGGTAGCTAGCAAAATGGTGCTGTAGTTGTAGAAATACAGAGAAGGTTCAAGAAAATAATGGAGTTTGGGAGCATTTTTCATGGGATGGCAGTTTGCTAAGAAGAAAAGTCAAGTTGGTTGTAAGGAATGATTTAACTTTACAACAATAGATTCTAGAATGGCTTCATTCTAGTGCATAAAGGGGTCATTTGTGAATACAAGCAACTTACCACAGAATTAAGGCTCCATTTTGGTGGAAAAAGTTAATTAATGACATGACAGATTTTATTAAGTATTGTGACACATGTGCTAGATGTAAGTATGAAGCTGTAGGGTCGCCTGAGTTATTACAACCTCCTCCAATACCAAGCAAAATTTAGGAGAGTATTATCATAGATTTCATTGAAAAACTTTCTAGATTTCATGGTAAGGACATAATATGGGTTTTGATAGATAGATTGAGTAAGTATGCATATTTCATTCCTTTGACTCATCCTCATTCAGCATCTTCCTTGGCATAAATTTTTACGGATTATATTTATAAATTACATGGTGCCCCTACTAAAATTATATCTGATCATGATCCAATTTTTGTAAATGGTTACTAGAAGGAGTTTTTGCAAATTTTAAGTATTCAATAGCATCTTTCAACAACCTATCATCCTCAAACAAATGGGCAATTTGAATTTCTTGATAGGTGCCTTGAAACCTATTTAAGATCTATGTGTTGGGAACAACCGAAGAAATGGAGTGAGCGGTTATCACAAGCTGAATGGTAGTACAATACTACCTTCCATACAGTAACAAAAGATACTCCATATGAGCTTTTATATGGTCAAGCTCCTCCTATATATTGTCCTTATTTGCCTCACCATGCCATTTTAGATGCATTAGACAAGTCTTTTATTGCAAGAGATGAGATGTTAAAGATTCTTAAGCATCATCTACATCATGCTGCCAATATAATGAAGCAAAAAGCTAACACTCATAGGGCTGATTGTGAGTTTAGGTGGGACAGCAGGTCTTCCCCAACTACAATCTTATAGACAGTTGTTTGTGGCTGC